ATTTGCTTGGGATATACAAGGGCGGCACTAGAATTTGAAACACGATCTGGAAAGATGGCCAGTAACCAGGCATTTCTCACTGTTGTCTGGAAGCTGGGGAGCTCTCCTGCTCTTGGAAGTGAGCCCGGCAGGAGCTGGGGGTGGGGCTGGTGATGCAGGATGCTGGGGAAGTCCTGCCTGACCCTGCCTCTCCCCCACAGGAGTTTTTCGGAGCTGTACATGCTGTCTCTGCAGGAGCCCAGCCGGCGGGGGGTCCCAGAGCCTGTGCAGGATGAGGCCGAAGGGGTGACCCTGCTGCCCACCACAAGGCAGCTGCTGCACCTGTGCCTACAAGATGGCGGCAGCCCCCCAGGGCCTGGGGATCTGGCAGAGGAGAGGACTGAGTTCCTGCACAGCCAGAACTCGCTGTCACCACGCAGGTGCACACTCTTGGCCTTCCCTTTCCTCCAGGACTCTGTGAAAGCGGCTTCCCTTTCTGAACCACATCTGCTCTCCCCAGCTCCCTGTCAGATGAGGCCCCAGTCCTGCCCAACACCACCCCGGACCTCCTCCTGGCCACCACGGCCAAGCCATCAGTACCCAGCACTGACAGTGAGACACCTCTGACCCAGGTGAGCAGAAACCAGGCTCTGGAGCCCCACAACACAGTGGTGACAGTGGGTGTCACTGAATCTATATCCACTTCCTTCACACAGGATGGGCCAGGCAGTCCCAGTGGCTCTGAGGACAAGGGGAACCCAGCCCCAGAGCTGAGGTCCTCCTTTCTGCCACGTACCTTGTCTCTGCGGAACTCCATTAGCAGGAGTGAGTCTGGAGTCAGGAGGGCATGGGAGGAGGCAGGGGGTGCTCCCTGGCTCCCCCAGCTCAGCCTGCTCCTCGTGCCCACAGTCATGTCAGAGGCAGGCAGTGAGACCCTGGAGGACGAGTGGCAGTCCATCTCGGAGATCGCCTCCACTTGCAACACCATCCTGGAGTCGCTGTCCCGAGAGGGTGAGGCCACCAGATGCTGGCAGTAAGCCTGGGTGGTACTCACTCCCCGTTTCTGACCTGCCCACCCAATCCCTCTGTCCCCACAGGACAGCCCATCCCAGAGAGCGGAGACCCTAAGGGAACTCCAAAGTCTGATGCTGAGTAAGATCCTCAACCCCCAACAACCACTTTACCCGCCCATGTGACCCCCTTCACGTCTGTCCGCTGGGGTGGAGCTCTGTCCCAGGCTCTGTGGCCTCATTAGGTGGGGATGGGAGTCAGCCCGTGTGCTGCTCTCTGCCTTGGCCCTGCTGAGTCTTGACCCACCATGTCCTCAGGCCAGAGCCTGGGAGCCTCTCAGAGAAGGTCTCTCACTTGGAGTCCATGCTCAGGAAGCTGCAGGAGGACCTGCAGAAGGTGAGGGGTGGGCTGGGCTTGGAGGGTGTTACAGGGCTGTCCCCAGAAAGGGGCTGGTAGCTCTGACTCCTGTCTCCCCGGCCACCCCAGGAAAAGGCAGACAGGGCAGCCCTGGAGGAGGAGGTACGGAGCCTGAGACACAGCAACCAGAGGCTGCAGGCGGAGTCTGAGAGCGCAGCCACGCGCCTGCTTCTGGCCTCCAAGCAGCTGGGCTCACCCACTGCCGACCTGGCCTGAGCTGCAGGGGCCCGCTGCTGCCTGGCTGTGGACAAGCTTGGAACCACCTGGGCCCCTCAGCGCACCCGGGTCACACTGGGCCCTCCTCAGGAACTCTCCCTGCGCAGAGGCGCATCTTAGCACTGCCCCCGCTCCCTATCCCCTTATTTGGTGGCAGAAGTGGCCCCCACCCCGTCCCTGTTTGTAAATATTCTGTGGAGAAAAGAGGATTTCAGGGAGTAAAAAAGGCGCTGTTGTCTGTGTCTGTGCATGTGTCCAAGATGGGGCAGGGCAAGGGATTCTGCCTCCAGAGGCCCCAGCCAGACTCCCCAGACAGTCAGCACAGGCCCAGGAACCCATCTCAGAGACAGGCTGGCACTCACTGACAGGTCCCTTAGGTCCCAGCACACTCCCCAGTCAGTAAGCACAGGCCCAGGACCCTGGCTCAGAGATGGGCTGGCACTCACTGAGAGGTTCCTTAGGCCCCAGTCAGACTCCCCAGACAGGACAGGCCTGGGAACCCAGCTCAGAGAAGGGCTGGCACTCACTGAGGGGGTCCCTTAGGCCAGGCCACCGCTTGACTTCTCTTCCATAACGTTTATTTGGTTCTGTAGGGAAGCAGGTGGCCACACCCCATATCTACCCTGGCCATGCGTCACCGGGCCCTGCGCCTCAGTGCAGGCCTCACTCTCCTCTCTGAAGCCACTGAGCCCCCAGGCCTTGTCCTCTCTCCACCCACCTGGCCATTTCTTGCAGGGCCCAATTCCAGTTGCCTGAGGGGTGTTTCCATGTCTTGGAGGAAATGGGCCTTGACCCACTTCTCTCCTCACCAGCCATGGCCCTCTCTGTTCACCAGGCCAGGCCTTTCCTGTAAGTGGCATCATCAAGTCCAAACTTGAGCTTTGTCTAAATCCTTTGTTTTCTGAACCTGAGGCCCAGACAGGGCAGACTTACCCAGCATCTCATGCCTGTTCCAGTTTTTTCCCTAGGCTGGCTGAAGCTCCATACTGAGACCTAGGCCCTGGGTCTGTTAACTTAGGTGCTGGCAGAATGAGCTAGGTGCTGAGAAACAGCATCTGGAGATCAGGACGGCTTCACGGAGGAGGTAACATAAGGCTGAGTTTTGAAGGTTGAATAGGAGTTCACCAGGCAGAGATGTCAAAGGTATCCTGATAGGACCAGTCTGGCTGGGGCCTGTTTGACTGGAGCCAAGGCGCACACAGAAACCCAGGGTCAAAGAAGCTGGATCACAAAGGTTTGTGAGGGTAACTGGACATCCTGGATTAGCAGTTCCCAAGACCGCTGCTGCCAGTTTTTCCTGGTTGGTCACTGAGGGTGTGTCTGTAGAAAACTCGGATCTGGGCTGGGCGAAGTGGCTCACACCTGTTACCTCAGCACTTTGGAAGGCTGAAGTGGCAGACGGCCTGAGGTTAGGAGTTCAAGACCAGCCTGACCAACGTGGATAAACCCTGTCTCTACTAAAAATACAAAATTAGCTGGGCATGGTGGTACATGCCTATAGTCCCAGCTACTCCAGAGGCTAAGGCAGTAGAATTGCTTGAAGCCAGGAGGCAGTTGCAGTGAGCCGAGATTGCACCATTGCACTCCAGCCTGGGCAACAAGAGCCTGGACTCCGTAACACAAAAAAAAGGAAAACTCAGATCTGGTCATGGTTGATAGATGTTTGAAGGGAGGTTGATGGGGTGAGATCTAGATGTCAGAGCTCTTCAGCTACAGGGAGCAGTCCAGTGGGAGGTGTAGTGGTGACTTAAACTTGGTGATGATAGCGGTGACAGTGGGGAGAAGTAGGCAGATTTTCCAGGACCTCGTGCAAAGACTGGATGCAAGTTACTAAGGGAAGAGGTGGCATCTACAGAAGTGGCCAGGTTTCTGGCTGGAGCCCCTGGAAGGTGGCAGGGCCAGGGCTGACACACAGAGGGAAAAGGAGAGGCAGGCTGGGGATGGCTGAGGTCATTTGGAACAGGGTGAGTTTGAGGCGCCCGAGAATGTCAGAGTAGAGATGTCCAGGGGCTGCTGCGAAGGGGAGAGAGATCTGGGCCGGATGCGAGGACTCGGAGCTGGGGAAGGAGTGAGAGAAGGACCAGGAGAGGTCTTCCGTGGGTCACAGGAGGTCACAGCGGGACCAAGAAGGTCAAGATGAGGGAGGCATGGCCTGGCCTGCAGGGCCTGGGCTCCCTGGTTTCCCTCTGGGCCTCCGGTCGGGGCCTTCCAGTCGGTCAGTACCCTGAGCAGCTCAGCCGCCGGCTTCTTCAGGGTTAGGAGCCTTCTCACCCTGCCCGCTCCCTCCCCGGCCCCGCCCGCTCCCTCGCAGGCCACGCCCACTTCATCCCCGGCCACGCCCACTCCCACCCCGGCCACGCCTTCCAGGAGCTCCTCAGCGGCTTCACCTGGGTCCTGACCAGGCCATTGCGAGCCCGGGGTCCGCCCCCTCGCGTGGGAGTTCCGGCGAGGCCCGCCCTCGCTCCAGGCCCCGCCTCTGGCCGCCCAGGGAGCGGAAGCCCTGTGGAAGGCTCCAATTCCTCCACGCGGTCCGCCTGTCGTCCCGCAGGCACCGCCCACTGGAGCCTGCACCCAGGGCCTCTTGTGTTCCAAGGAGACTCGCTGACTTTTGGGACGCATCCCGCTGAGATAACCCCCTGTCCTCTGCCATCCCCCTCCCGCGACAGTGCGAAGCCTAGAGCAAGACGCCATCTGCCTCGGCGGGGATGACCCCAGCGGCCGGACCCGGCCTCGGGTCGCTGGGGGCTCCTTGTGCGCATGCGCATACGAGAAGGCTGCCCAAGCCGGCCAGCGCTTTTCGCTGCTGCGCGTGCGCTGGGCCAAAGCGGAAGTTTGTCCAGCTGTAGCCCTGTGGGCTGCGGCTGGACCTTTGTTTTGGCTTCCTGAGGCTGTGGATTGAAGATTTCATCGTTCCTCCCAGAACATAGTATGAAAGCATCGGTGGGGCAGGGTGGATCTTTACCTGGCACCACACATTCCCCAAGAGAAGCACACACTCCCTGGGCCACCCAAGGAATTAATTCCAAATTTCCTGGCCCCATCAAATCTTTCCAGCTTCGTTCTGTTACCTCTGACGCTGGCTAGTTCCTCTGCGAGATCCACTCTCAGCACCTAAGACCTGAAGCTAATGAGGCCTCTTTGAAGACTGCTGAAACTGCTCCATCCCTACTGCCAGCGGGCCCTACTAGGCTCTCAATGTGCTAGGACTCCTGCCTTAGCTGCCTGTTTTCATCCACTGGACGGTAACTCGGGGTTTCCAAGGGCATTCTCAGACTGCCAGAGGACAGTGCACACATTCACCCAGTTCTCTACCACCAGCGTCCAGCCTGATGTGACTAGCAAAGTGTTTGTTGAAAAAAAAAAAGCAAATCTCTAGCTAGCTTGGCAAGATTTATTAGTTTAGAGTAGAAAGAGCAAGAGTCCACGTGCTTTGATTCTTCAGTCAAAACTATACCTCCTGACTGGAGAGCTGCCGGCCTGCTCTCCCTCATTCTCTTAACAACTTGCCCTACTATTAAGGCACATGAGAAGAGGGGGAGCAGGGAAGTCCCAGACCCAACCCCCTCTGGATCCTAGAGAGAGCAATCACTGTTCCACTGGTTTCCTTCGGCCACGATTGAGCAAGGAAAGATCTGGCAGAGACCCCTATAGGGCAGGAAGGCCAGCCCCTTCAAATGCTGGTGTTAGGCACAGGGACAATGCCAGTGCCATAGAGGGACTGGAAACTGGGGTGTTATTTTGAATCATGATGTAATGAATCCATGATGAAATACACTTGGTAATAAGGCTTTGTGGGCTCAAAGGCCTTAGCTCCAGCCTACTCCTCTCTCTAGGAGAGTACTAGAAGCTGGAGGAGGGGGGTGGGGGACCCCAGAGTTCCCTATAGAGAAGGGAGCTGACCATTAGGATAGGGGAAGAGTTTGAGTTCCCCCAGCTCCCCACTTTCCAGAGAAGTTAATGCTTCTGCTTAAGCACCTCCAAAGAGAGAGAGACAGATATTGCCAATAAAAAGATCAAATGTGCCTCCCCTGCCTCCAAGGAAGACATCACTAAAGTTGGGGCAGTTGGAGCATACCCCACCAGAATCCGTAAGTGCTTTGGGAGGGCTTGAATCCCCTGCAACCCAGTGCTCTGGGAAGGGCAGGCGTCACCCCCTTAGGAGCTGATCTGACTCAGCAGGGCTGAGAAGTCCATGTCCGCAATGGAGGAGAAGTCTTCATCCCCCGAAAGGAGGCCGTTAGGGAGCCCCGGGGCCCCCAGTGGAGCAGGAGCTGGGTCAGGGGGCCTCTGGGCCCCTGTCACTAGGCGAGTTATAGCCTCAGGGTACTCCATCAGCATGGGCTCAGCTGTGTGTGGGGCCACAGGTAAGCTCTGGTTCATCAGCTGCTGAAACTCCGAGTTGTCGACGGATGCCAGGTCTGTGAACACAGCTGGATCTGTGCTGTTGCCAAGCAAGGCCCCCAGGTCTTCATCATCAAACTGCAGCTGCAGCAGGGCCTCTGATAGTGTTCCTTCCCCAGCCTGCGTGGGCTTGGGGGCAGGTGGGGCCATAGCATGAGGAGGGCCTGGGGCTAGGACTGGGCCAGGGGCTGGGGCCTGGGCCAGAGCTGGTACCATGGGTGGGGCAGGGGCAGGGGCAGGGGCAGGGGCTGGGGCTGGAGCTTGCGGCAGGACTTGGGGAGGGGCTAGGGCCAAGGCTGAGGCCTGGCTTATCTGCTCAGAAGGAAACACCATGGTGGGAAACTCATCATAGTTGATGGTGCTCAGGGATGGCGAAAAGGGATAGGGCTGAGGGGCTGGAGGAGAGACAGAGAGGCAAGGGTCAGAGAACGCCCCAGAGATCCAACCCATCCTCTATACTCCAGCCCCTCTTGATGATGCTTAGGCTCAATCTCTCTAGGGAGTCACTGCCAATACCCTACCTCCTTCCTCTTACCCAATCTGACCCCGCCTGTAGGGTCCAGTTCTAGCCACATCTCCATCCTGGAGTCCTCCCTGACTATTCAAGCCCATGAAGCTCTCCCAGCCTTTTAGAGGAAGGGACACTTTGAGGGATAAGCTAGTCTCCTCAGTTTACAGCTGAAAAACCAAGTCCCAAGAGGCAACAAGCCCATGGAGCACCAAGTGAGTAGTGGCTTTAAGTGGACAGTTCATCAGTCTTTTTTGAGCCCCACACCAGCATATACATCTTGCTAATTTAGAGGTGATTTTTCCCACTAATTCAACTGAGAGGTGAGAGCAGAGATTCTGTATTTTTAACTTCTGAATCCCAAGATGTCCAATATAGGATGTAAGTGGCACTGTGGTTCCCAGGCTTCGGTGTGCATTAGCATCCCGGGAAGCCGCTGATTCCTGCACCATCCTCCCAAAGCCTCCGATTCAGTAGGTCTGTATAGGGCCCAGGAATCTGCATCTCCACTGCTTCTCAGGTGACTCTGACGGAGGTCACCAGACCCCACCCCCTGAGAAACATAGGCCCAAAGGAGAGCTGGCTTCAGACATCTGTTGCTCAGGTCAGTTCCTCTGCTCATCTCCCTTCCAGAAGGCATTTCAGCCATGGGCTGAATAGAGCTGAACCTGTCGCTCCAGTGGGACAAAAGGAAATCCTTACCTGGCTTGGGGATGGAAGCTGAACTGCGCGAAGGCACAGCAATGCGCCGGGGTGGAGGCCGGGGGTCAGTGGGTCCTGTAGGGCAAGGGCTGGGTCAGTTCTCAGCCCTGGGGTGTCCCCTCCCTGCCCCCCCCCCGCCTTCCTCTCTGGCCTTCCCGGTCTCCTCTCACCATTGAAAGGACTCTTCTTCATGATACTCTTGAAGGTCTCATATGTCCTTTTGCGTTTCTCCTCAATCCGGTGGCGATCATCTGGGAAAGTAAGGGGGAGAAGGGGGCGCACTCACTTCAGGTGGGCCCCCAGTGCTCTCAAAGGCCCCCGAGAAAAACAAGGAGCCGGGCTTTCCCAAAACCTGTCTTTGACAATGAGAAGGGATGTGTGACACTCAGCTGTTCTGAGAATCCCACGGCTTTTGGAAAAGGCCTCTGTTGGCTGAATCTGCCCCTCTAAGGCCACATGGTGAGGCCAAGTACAGGGGCCATGCTCTGGGGAAAGAGGAGCCCTGGGGGGTACCAGCTTCCAGCTCATGCCTTCCTGCATTGCTCATGTCATGGCTTACTGCAAGCCTCCAGCCAGGCCTGGTGACAATTTCTTGGCATTCTGAGGCAGCTGAGGCACAACTTAGGATTTATGACTTCAGCAGAGACTTTTTTTTTAAAAGAAAGAAAGATAAAGAGAAAGGGGGAGAGAGAACAGGAGTCTTGCTCTATTGCCCAGGCTGGAATGCAATCTAAAAGTAGGTATTAAAAACCTCTTTCATGCCGATAATGGTGCTTAACAGTGCAGAATTTCAGGAAGGAATTTCCCATCATTGTAAATTTATCCACCTGTCGTCTTTGTAATAACCGACTTTCAAATTAGGTCTCTGAGTGGACATCCAACTTGTTGATTCCCAGCGCCGGAATCTGAGCAACCCACTGCGCTGGCTAAGGTGTTAAGATTTGTGGTGCTTTTCTGCCCGGGAATCTCTGGTCTGGCTTCCTTCTTGAGTCCCTTTTTCAATCAGCTGAATAGGCGACTCTGCCTTCCCGGAGCTCCAAACGTCGACCAAAAGGGGACCCAGTCCTGTTTACTCTGCACCAAGAACCACTGTGCCAGGGCGCCGGCAAAACCACCGCGCCAGCCACAAGAGTCGTGCTGGTGACTTGTGGGGCTCCTCCGCTGGGAATCTCCTGGTCCGTGAGCAACAAAAATTCGTCTGAAAGTGTGGTGTCCTCTCGTTCTCTGCACTTTCACTGGGAGCTACATGCCTGAGCTGCTAGTAATCAGCCATCTTGGATCTCTCTCCAAGACTCTTATTCTTACCTCTAATGGTTTGATAATTTAGTTGGAGCTTTCTGAACTGTTTTTCTTCTCTTTTTTTTTTTGAAACCGAGTCTCGCTCCGTCGCCCAGGCTGGACTGCAGTGGCACAATCTTGGCCCACTGCAATCTACTCCTCCCAGGTTTAAGCAGTTCTCTGGCTCAGCCTCCTGGGTAGCTGGGATTACAGGTGTGTGCTACCATGCCCAGCTAATTTTTGTATTATTTATTTATTTTTAGTAATTTTTGTATTTTTAGTAGAGATGGGGTTTCACCATCTTGGCCAGGCTGTTCTTGAACTCCTGACCTCATGATTCATCCTTCTCGGCCTCCCAAAGTGCTGGCCACCATGCCCAGCCTCAGAACTGTTTTCCTAAGTACCATGGTACTTCAGTAGCACCAAAGCACCTCAATTCCATTAATTCAAAGACAATTTCATCATCCCTCAAAAACTGGGTTCTTTCTCCTATATTCCCTGACCATCTATCTGCCCTGTCACCAAAGCTAGAAACCTTGGAATGACTATCTTTTTTTCTCACTCCCCACCACTAACTTGACACATATTTATCAAGCACCTACTATGTGCCAGCCTCCCTTCTAGACACTGGGGATGTGGCCATGAGTAAGCACACAAGGTGTCTGCTCCCAAAAAGTTGGCATCCTAGTGAAAGAGTGATAGGGACACAACCATGTATACAAACCAGAAAATCTCTCTCTCTTTTTTTTTTTTTTTGAGACAGAGTTTCACTCTTGTTACCCAGGCTGGAGTGCAATGGCGCGATCTCGGCTCACTGCAACCTCCGCCTCCTGGGTTCAGGCAATTCTCCTGCCTCAGCCTCCTGAGTAGCTGGGATTACAGGCACGCACCACCGTGCCCAGCTAATTTTTTGTATTTTTAGTAGAGACGGCGTTTCACCATGTTGACCAGGATAGTCTCGATCTCTCAACCTTGTGATCCACCTGCCTCGGCCTCCCAAAGTGCTGGGATTACAGGCTTGAGCCACCACACCCGGCCTACAAACCAAAAAATCTCAAGTGATGGTGATCCAGGGAAGACACGGTGATATAACAATACCAGTGAGGTGAGGACAGTCTAATCCAGAGGTGGTCAGGGAAGCACTGGCCTGAGCCACTTGCATGAAAACCTTGGGTCAGGGCTGGGTGCAGTGGTTCACACCAGTAATCCCAGCACTTTGGGAGGGCGAGTCGGGCGGATGCCCTTAGATTGGGAGTTTGAGACCAGCCTGACCAACATGGAGAAACTCCATCTCTACTAAAAATACAAAATTAGCCAGGCGTGGTGGTGCATGCCTGTAGTCCCAGCCACTCAGAGGCTGAGGCAGGAGAATTATTTGAACACTGGAGGTGGAGGTTGTGGTAAACCGAAATCATGTCACTGCACTCCAGCCTGGGTGACAAGAGCTAAATTTCATCTCAAAAACCAGAAAAACAGCAAGAGAAAACCTTGGGCCAGGCCTTCCAAGCAGAGGCAACAGCTAGACATAGGTCCTGAGGTGAGACTGAGTTTGGGCCATAAGATGCAAAACAGGCTGGGTACAGTGGCTCATGCCTGTAATCCCAGCACTTTGGGAGGCCGAGGTGGGCAGATCACCTGAGGTCAGGAGTCTGAGACCAGCCTGCACAATGTGGTGAAACCCTGTCTCTACTAAAAATACAAAATCTAGCCAGGCTTGGTGGCACAAGCCTGTAATTCCAGCTACTTGGGAGGCTGAGGCAGGACAATTGCTTGAACCCGGGAAGCAGAGGCTGCAGTGAGCCGAGATGGCGCCATTTCACTCCAGCCTGGGGTGACAAGAGTGAAGATCTCTCTCAAAAAAAAGAAATGACACAAAACAGCTGAAGGGCAACTGACGGCAGTGGTGAAAACGTGATCTGGGTTCACGAGACATCTTCTCTTCCTGGGCTACAGTTAACATCTTCCAGAATGGCCTCCCTGCTTTGAGTCTCTCCATCTCTGATCCTCTACAAGTGGCCTCCTGAGTCAGCTTCCAAATCTGCTCCTGTCACCTCTCTGCTTAGAAACCTTCGATGGCTTCCTACTGCCTTCAGCCTGACCAGGCCCCCTCTCTCTGGGCCTGCTACTGCTCAACATCAGCTCAAATCCCAAAGATGCCCCTGAACAGGCTGTGCAGCTGCCAATACCCTTTCCCTTCCAGGTGCTGGGTCACCTGCCTGGAGAATGCACTTCTGCGTCTTTCTACAGCTTCAATGCCACCTACTCCACGCAGCGTCGCCAGCTCCCCGGAGGCCACCGTGCTCCCATGGCTCTCTGCACATTCCTCCATTTCCCATGTCATTCTGTGACTTATGGATCTGTTTTGCACATTGTCTTCCTCAAGTGACTAAGATTCTGAAGGGCAGGGAGTACGTATGTCTTATTCATTTTTTGTATTCACAATACCTGGCACAGGCCCTGGTACCAAGTGGGTACTCAAACCTCGACCAAAATGTGGCTGGGCTGTATGGCAGTGACAAGACAATCAGTGTGGTAAAAGGACCCTTGAAGCCAGATGGCCTGGGTCCCAACGCTGACTCTGCTACTCACTAGCCACATGAAGCCAGGCAAGTTGGACACCATCTCCTACCTCAAAAGGCTCATGAGATTAAAATCAGGTAATCCTGGAATAGGGGCAGATGTGTAGTACTAGCTCAATGTCAGGTAACATTATTATTAAATGAGGCAAGAAATGGATTCCAATTATCATATAAATCCCAAGCTCTGACTCCAGCTTCCGGCTCTCAACTACAACCCCAGACATGCAGTCTTGGCCTTTCTCATGGGACACAGCCCAGCTGCCCTGCTGCTGCCACCCCAGCTGTGTACCTGTATCTGGCAGGTACTGGAATTCCATGGGCTCGCTGAGCTCCCGGTCGGAAGGCCGCCGCAGCTGCATGAACACACGAACAGGAGCCTGCAGACTGGGGTCTGCGTAGGGAGGGGTCCGGAACACAATGGCCACTTGGCGGTGCACATCAGCTTGTGAAAAGGAGCCTCGGGCCTCCCAGCCTGGCCCCGTGAAATACACCTCAATGTCCTCTGCAGGAGATGGGATGGCAGTGTGGTCAGTATGTCACGCCCTCTGCAGTCCCCCCTCAACTTCTGATGCTTGTCTCCTGAGATACTTTGCCCCGAGGCCCACCTGAGGCCCCCAGGCACAGGAGGAAGTATCCAAAGCCAGTTTCCTGACACTCCCCATCTCTGCTCAGCTTCACCCCTTGCTTCCAAGAGCCCACCCTGCCTCCCGATGTATACCTTTCTGCACCTTGTCACACAGCAGGAAGATCTCATCCCCACCGAGGCAGCTGCCAGAGTTTCGGTTCACTCGGCAGATCTTGAGCTCGGCAGTGTTGGGAGCACCTGAGGCAGCGGGAACAAGGAAGGCCGACCTGAGCCACCTGAGGTCCCTGGGGTGGGCTGCAGGAGATGCAGCTTCTCTGCCCAGTCCAGAGTCAAGGTTGCCCAGAACTTGCCTCCTACATTTTTGCAGCCAGTCAGACCTTCTTACTGGCTCCATACCCCAACCGATTCAGCCAGTATTTACCTGCTGTGTGCTCAACACTGATCTAAGCAAGGAGAATCCAACCACGTACAAAACCTAATCTCTCTGCTCTCCCGGAGCTTATAATCCAGTGGGCGCCAATCTGCTCACACTCTTTCTCCCCCTGACCCAAGTAATCTTTAAGGCCAGTCCATACACACCTTGGCAATGAGCCCTTCCCTCCTGACCCCCAGTTTATCCTGGTTTCCCATTCTTGGGGCTCCAGAACTGTTTCATTTCTATTCATCCTGCTGGTTACTTAATTAAAGACTGCAGCTGATCAGTCAGCCCAGTTCATCTGTGGGCTTCCGTCACTGAATCATCATTCCCGAACACTATCTTGTTCCCAGGAGTTCATTTCCTAGAATCTTTATCGCAGTTGTGGGCACACCACCTTCTCATCACATGATACTGAAAATATCCATTTCCCATCAGACTCACTCCAGGCTGGAGCTATACCTGAAGGACAGCTCTGGGTCTTCTTTGCCCTCTCTCCCCAGCCAACAAAGAGCTGGGCACAGAAAAGAAGACGGATATGCAAGATGATTGAATGAAGCAAGAGCACCTCTTGCAGGTCACACTCAACCCAACCCCATTCCTCCTTATCCAGGCCCACCCCTCTCCCCTTCCTGTGGCTCCCTGGCCACTCACGGTTGTCAAAGATGGGATGAGAGAGGACAGGCAGCAGGCGGAGGGGCCTGCCTGATGGATCCCGCACTGTCACCTGGAAGCAGAGCCGCACAGCGTTCAGGTCATAGTCCCCACGCTGCTCTTCTATGGGAACTGCCAGGAAAACAGGTGATCAGGAGAGCAAGAGAAGGGGGGTTATAGGTGCTATCAGTGGGGACAGGGAGCTGTGCGCTGGGAGGGCTGTTGGTGCATGTGTGAAACACAAGTCCTAGAGACGGCAGAACCCAGCACTGCCTCCACTGTGACCCTGAATGTCCTCTCCTGGGCCTCAGTTTCCCAATGGTAAAGTGGGAGAGTACTGAAAGGGCAGCAAGATTCCATCTTTATTGTGTCTTGGCCAATGAGGGAGAGATGCAGGAAAGGCGGGCTGGGAACGGTGACAGAGGGTATGGGTGCGGCAGGCAGGTTCACCCTTACCTTGGAAGGGGTTGTTGTTGGTCTGGATGCGCTGATTGATAGCCTGCTCCAGATCTCGCTTCTTCACACACTGGATTCCCAGGTTCTGGAAACTGAACACCCCCACTCACCTGTCTCTTGCAGAGCTGGGACCTTCCTGCCTTGCCCAGCCTGCTCCTTCCTCCCCTGCCCACCCGCAGATCATCGCTCCATACCTAACCCCCTCCAGTGGCTTCCCACTATGCTGCAACGAACCCTGTCCCTCCCCTCCGCTGACAAGCACCTCTGCGCCCCCGCCCCTGCCAGCCTCCCTTTGGGCCATCTGCTTACCACCATAGGGGCTTCCTTTCCCTTCTCTAACACAAGACACTCATTCCCACTTCAAGGTCTTAGCACTTGTTTGGTCTGCTTGGAATGTTCTTTTTCCTACTTTTCTCCTCCTTCTCACCATTCAAGCAGTAGCAGAGGGAGGCCTTCCCTGACCTCCCAATCTAGTCATTACACTAGCTCCCCTCACTCCCCGACCCCAGGTTATCCTTTCATCCTATGACCTTGTTTTATTTTCAGCACTGAAAGTATTACTCTGACAGTACCTTGTTTACTTATCTGTGTATTTATTCATATTTTATTTGTTTATGTATTTTTAGACAGAGTCTCACTCTGTTGCCCAGGCTGGAGTGCAATGGCTCAATCTTGGCTCACTGCAACCTCCGCCTCCCAGGTTCAAGCCAATCTCCTGCCTCAGTTTCCCAAGTAGCTGGGATTACAGGTGTGCACCACCACACCCGGCTAAGTTTTTGTATTTAGTAGAGCCAGGGTTTCACCATGTTGGTCAGGCTGGTCTCGAACTCCTGATCTCAGATGATCCGCCAACCTCAACCTCGCAAAGTGCTGGGATTACAGGCATGAGCCACTGTGCCAGTCTATTTACTTGGGTGTCACTCTGTCACTCAGACTTCAATGCTGTGACATGATCACAGCTTGCTGCAGCAAGGACCTCCTTGGCTCAGGTGGTCCTCCCACCTCAGCCTCCCACCTCAGGTAGTCCTCCCACCTCAGCCGGTCCTCCCACCTCAGCCTCCCACCTCAGGTGGTCCTCCCACCTCAGCCTCCCAAGTAGCTGGGACTATAGGAACATGACACTATACCTGGCTAATTTATTTTTTTGTAGAGATAAGGTCTCATTATGTTGCCTTAGCTAGTCTTGAACTCCTACGCTCAAGAGATCTTCCTGCCTTCATCTCCCAAAGTGCTAGGATTATAGGCATGAGCCACTACGCCTGGCCTGTATATTTTTTTTATAGTCTGTCTCTGTCAACTGTAATGTCAACTCCGGGGAGAGTACTGGTTCAATGGTTTTCTTTCTCAAACAAGAGACATGACTCTGACGGACTACCCCTTCCAGCTACAGGGTCAGGGATTCAGAAGTGATTAGGGACCCATCCCTATCCCCTAGAGCTCCTATCTGCTAGAGTAGAGGTATAAATGATAATTTTAAAACAAAGGGAGTTTACTTGCAGAACTATGTCAGAGCAAGGAGTGAGAAATTGTCCTGTGTCCAGAAAGGAGTAACACTGTAGCGTCTACCTCACAGCCCGCATCCTGTCCCCTCAGGCTGGGCCTCCTAGACTGCAGGGAGCTCACCTGTGGATGCAGCGGTCCGGGCAGAGCTCAGCCTCGTAGAAGCCATCCCGGCAGTCTTTTCCTACAAGCTCATGGGGGTGAGGCCGGTGAGGAGGGTCCTTGGTGACCAGGGAGATGCGTACTGTCCCTGGCCCTGTGTAGCCATTGATCTGTCCAAAGTACAGAGAAGCCCAGACATCCAAACCTGACTCCCAAACAGAGGGCTGGGGCTCGCAGTCCCTACCCCGCACTCCCCGGCTCAATGCTGACCTTGATGGTGGGGTGCGTCTTGGTGGTATCTGTGCTCCTCTCGCCAGGGATGCTGCCCGCGGAGCGTCCCTCGCACTTGTAGCGGAAGCGCATGCCCCGCTGCTTGGGCTGCTCAATGATCTCCACATAGGGGCCAGAGGCCTGGGCTGGCTCTGCCAGGGGACACCGCAGACCCATTAGGTGGCTGCCCCCGCTGCCCTACCCCAGGGAGCACCTCCCCGACCACCGCGGGGGCCACTTACCTGCCGGGAAGATGAGGGGGAACAACTCTGAAAGGGGAGAGAGATCAGGGTCAGCACACACCCACTGCCCATCCTCACCGGGGGAATCTGCTCCCCACGAAGAGAAGCCAGGCTCCCTCCCAGGGGAACGGAGTCAGGACCCGTTCCCTAGAACAGGCGGTGAAACTAAAGGGTGGGGAGAAGGAGCCAGAAACACCTGCTTCTTGAGAGAAAACGGGGTAAGGAATCCTTCCTCTCCCGAGGGCAACTGAATTAGTTTTCCTTTCATAAGGAAAACTGGGGGAGGGCACGCCCCACCTCCGTCCAGAGAGGAAACTGAATCAGATGCGTTCTTCCCTAACAAGGAAACGAAGCCAGAGCTGCCCCCATAGACAGTGGGGGGGAAACTGAGTCAAGGCTCCCTCCGCTGTCCCACCCAGGGAGGATACTGAGTTAAGGCCCTCCCCTCCACCCAGAGGGGAAACTGAGTCAGATCCCTCCCCGCTTGCCCCGCCCCGCGCCACCATCCAGCAGGCAGGCCGCTCCCTGCGCAGCGCCCATCAGCGCAAGAAGGGGCGGAAAGCGGCGCGGGGGCTCCCGCCACAGCCCCGGCGGCCCCGGCGCGGCCACCCCGCGGGGTCAGAGGGCGACCTCACCGTCCATGGCCGGGGTCCCGGGGGCGGGGCCGGGGTCGCAGCTGGGCCCGCGGCGGGCGCTACAGCCTAGCCATTCGCCAGAAGCGGAAATGCGCCGCGCGCGCCCGCCGTCGCGTCACTGCCAGGAATCCGGCCGCGCCTGCGTGCTGCACCGCGGCGGCCCGGCGCAGGGGCCGAGAGCAAGTGCGCGCCGCGCGGAGGACGAAGAGGCCGCGCGCACAGCCGCCGCAGGGGGCCGGGGCCAAGTGCGCGCCTCGCGGGGGACGAAGAGGCTGGCGCGGCAGGCTGCTGGGCTAGTTTCCGAGTCCCGGCCCCACCTGGAGGGCGTGTCCGTCGATTACTCACTTTATTTTTAGGGGATTTCGGGGCCCCTTCCCGCGATCGGTGGAGTTGGTGATGTCACTCTGGGCCGGGTCTAGAGCTAAGCCAGGGCTGCTGGGCTGCGGCCACCCGTCCCGCGCAGGGAAAGGCCAAGCCTGGCCTTCTGCGCCCGCAAAGGCCAGGTGGTTGAAGTCTACGCGGGTTTCCTGATCGCTAAAGGCGCCTTTCGGTGGTGACTGTCTCAGAAGCACGTTAAAATGTCCTAGCCACCCCAATCTAGATGCGGCTCTGGGGAAGGGGAGCGGCCGGGCCTCCTCGCCTGACAGTATAGACTAGCTCTGCAGAGCCTGCAGCCCGGATGGGACGACCGAGGCCCTCCCGCCGGCGAGCTGGCCGAGGGCTCGCCCCTCTCACGCTAAAGAGCCAGCTTAAGATGCAGCCGAACTGCATTTTAGACCCTGAGCGACCGTGGGAGCAGGAGGAGCCCGGGGGTAAACCCCGGAGCCTTGTCTCCGCAGCCTGGCGCTTGTCTCAGAAGGTCCGGGACCCCCAGGGGACACTTGAATCAGCAGAGTCACGACGCCCCCGCCCACCCCTGCGTTTGCCCTGGACCTCTAGCTAGGGCTGACCACTAATTCTGTCATGTGACCCCCACAGTGCCGGTATCGCCCCCAAGACCAAACCGCGTACGTGTCGGGGCTGGGGCTGGCGCACCCCCACCCCACACCTCCTCCCCGAAAGAGGATGCTCCACTGCAGGGGGCGGAGTCTTCTCCAGATGGAGAAAGACTTTATTTTTTCTCTGAATTCGTCTTAAATTAGGAAATCATGTGGGAATTGGAAAAGATTGGAAATTCTGACTTGTTTCCCAGGCTCTGAAGAAACAGGAAGAGAAAAGTGAAAATAGAGTTAGCACCCCGCCCACTCATTTCAGTTTCTCCAGTGGCTGGCCCTGATTAGAAAAGTGTTTACTTTTGTTAGGGGGCGGGGGAGGCAGACTTCAGGTGGCAGAATGGATTAATCAAAATCTTTGGTTAATGACATAAAATTATCATTGAATCTTGCATGGATCCTCTTCTTAAAATTCATGTATGTTTATAACTTTTAAATTAATGCTATAAACACCCGTGTACCCACTGCAAAACTCAAGGGGCCACCACCATCCAGAATTCTGTATTTTCTTTTCTTTTTTTTTTTTTTGAGACAGGGTCTAGCTCTGTCACCCAGGCTGGAGTGCAGTGGCACGATCTCAGCTCACTGCAGCCTCGACCTCCTAGGCTCAAGCAATCCTCCCACTTCAGCCTCCTGCATAGCTGGGACTACAGGAGCACACCACCACCACACCTGGTGAAGTTTTTGAATTTTTGTAGAGATGTGGTTTCACCTTGTTGTCCAGGCTGGTCTTGAGCTCCTGAGCTCAACTGTTCTCCCACCTTGGCCTCACAAAGTGCTGAGCCATCGTCTGGGCCAGAATTCTGTATTTTACTTATATTATTTGTTATAACCAGAGATAGGTCTTGCTGTGTTGCCCAGGCTGGTCTCAAACTCCTGGGCTCAAGCAATCCTCCCACCTCAGCCTCCCAAAGTGCTGGGATTACAGGCAAAAGCCACCATGCCTGGCCCAGAATTCTGTATTTTAAAGAAAAAACGGTACTCGTTTCTGCATGCCTACACAATATATCTTTTAGTTTTCCTTAGTTTTGAAGTTTTATGAGGAGAGCATCATATTATTTGTTATCCTTTATTACTTGCTTTTTTCACTCAACGTATTACTCTGATTCATCCATTTCACAGTTAATTCACTTTTTTTTTTTTTTTTTTTGAGGCAGGGTCTCACTCTGTCCCCATGCTGGAGTGCTGTGGCATGGCTCATTGCTCACTGCAGCCTCAAATTCCCAAGCTCAAGCAATCCTCCCACCTTAGCCTTTCAAGTAGCTAGGACTAACAGCATGCATCACCACGCTCAGCTAATTATTATTATTATTTATTTATTTATTTATTTTTGAGACGGAGTTTTACTCTTATTACCCAGGCTGGAGTGCAATGACGCAATCTCGGTTCACCGCAACCTCCGCCTCCTGGGTTTAGGCAATTCTCCTGCCTCAGCCTCCTGAGTATCTGGGATTACAGGGGTGCGCCACCCTGCGCAACTAATTTTTGTATTTTTACTAGAAATGGGGTTTCACCATGTTGGCCAGGTTGGTCTCAAACTCCTGACCTCAGGTGATCCACCTGCCTTGGCCTCCCACAGTGCTGGGATTACGCATGTGAGCCACTGCACCCAGCCTGAAAAGGTGTTTCTAGACTCATCTAGCAAATTTTTTGCCCCACATCTGGAATCAGACAGCTTTCCAAGGAGTCCTGATTTCTCTTACTGGGAAATGATATTTAGAGACTACAGCTTGAGTACTTTGGATACTTATTGCTACTGAGTCAGTCACTGTAGACATTTTCAGTGAATAGTTAGTAATTTTTTAAAAAATGGGAGTCTTGCTCTGTTACGCAGGCTGGATTGCAGTGGTATAATCATAGCCCATTGCAGGAGTGAACTCCTAGGCTCAAGCGATTCTCCCTCCTCAGGTCCCCCAGTAGCTGGGACTACAGGCACACACCACCATGCTCAGCTAATTATTTATTTATTTACTTACTTATTTTTTAGATGAGTCTTGTTCTGTTGCCCAGGCTGAAGTGCAGTGGTGTGATCTTGGCTCACTACAATCTCTGCCTCTCAGGTTCAAGTGATTCCCCTGCTTCAGCCTCCTGAGTAGCTGAGATTACAGGCATGCACCGTCATGCCTGGCTAATTTTTTTGTATTTTTAGTAGAGATGGGATTTTGCCATGTTGGCCAGGCTGGTCTCAAACTCCTGACCTTGTAATCCACCCACCTCGGCCTCCCAAAGTGCTGGGATTACAGGCATGAGCCACTGCGCCTGGTCGGTAATTTTTTATTTTTTAGTAGAAATGAGGTCTCACTATGTTGCCCTGGCTGGTCTTGGACTGCTGGGCTCTAGCACTCCTTTTGCCTCAGCCTCCCAAAATGTTGGAATTACAGGTATGAGCCACTGCGCCTAGCCTAGTTTGTAATCTTTTAAAAATATGAAATGCATCAGGAGTTCATATTGATGTCTCCTTGAATTTTAGAATTGAAATTTAGAATTACAGATTTTAAAATTTATTTATTTATTTATTTTTGAGACATAGTCTCACTCTGTCACCAGGCGCCAGGCAGGAATGCAGTGGCACAATCTCGGCTCATTGCAACCTCCACCTCCCAGGTTCAAGCAATTCTCCTGTCTCAGCCTCCTGAGTAGCTAAGACTACAGGCACAGGCCATCACACCCAGCTAATTTTTTATTTTTTAGTAGAGATGGGGTTTCGCCATGTTGGACAGGATGGTCTCGATCTCTTGACCTTGTGATCCACCTACCTTGGCCTCCCAAAGTGCTGGGATTACAGGTGTGAGCCACGGCACCCAGCCCATTATTATTTTTTTTGAGACAGAGTCTTGCTCTGTTTCTCAGGCTGGAGTACAGTGGCATGATCTTGGCTCGCTACAGCCTCTGCCTCCTGGGTTCAAGCAGTTATCTGCCTCAGCCTCCTGAGTAGGTGGGATTACAGGTGCACACCACTGCGCTTGGCTAATTTTTGTACTTTTAGTAGAGACGGGGCTTCACCATATTGACCAGGCTGGTCTTGAACTCCTGACCTCGTGATCCACCTGCCTCAGCCTCCAAAAGTGTTGAGATTACAGGTGTGAGCCACTGCATCTGGCTAGAATTACAGGGCTTTAAATTAACCTCAGTCACTTTACATATTTTTCCCATGTCAAAAATCTTGATTCTCTTTTGAGGAAATAGAAAACTCCACTCTTAAACTAAGTTCACATGGAGTGTCAAGGGACTCAAATGGCCAAAACAATCTTAAAAAAGAGGAAGAAAGGTGGAGGAGTGATACTTCCTGATTTTGAACTTGCTACAAAGCTATAGTAATCAAAACAGTGTGATACTAGCATAAAGGCAGACATATAACCCTCAGTACAGAATAGAGAGCCCATAAAAATAAAACTTTTCCATAAAAGGCTGAATGGTTTTCAACAGTGCCAAAACCATTCCATCAGGGAAAGGACAATTTTTTCAACAAATGGTTTTGGGAAAACTGGGTATCCATATGCAAAATAGTCATGTTGACCCTTACCTAACACCATGTACAAAAGATAACTCAAAATGGATCAAATGGCTGAACCTAGTGACTCACATCAGTAATCCCCACACTTTGGGAAGCCAGTGGGAAGATCACTTGAGCCCAGGAGTTTGAAACCAGCCTGGTTAACATAGTGAGATCCTATCTCTACAAAAACAAAAAATAAAAATAAGAAAAAGAAAAAAATTAGCTGGGCATGGTGGTGCGTGCCTGTAGTCCCATCTACTCAGGAGGCCAAAGCAGAGGATTGCATGAGCCCAGGAGTTCAAGTTCATGGCAGGGAGCCATGGTCATGCCACTGTATTCCGGCCAGAGCATCATTGTGACCCTGTCCCACCCCTCCCTCCAAAGAAAGAACTAAAGAGGGACCAAATACCTAAATGTAGGACCTAAAACTATTAAACTCAGAAGAAAACATAGGGCATAATATTCATGACATTGAATTTGACAGTTATTTCTTGGATAAAACATAAAAGCACAGGTCACAAAAGAAAGAAATAGATAAATTAGACATAAAATGTAAAAGCTTTTGTACACCAAACACAATATACTGAAGTCAAAAATCAACGCATGGAATGGTAGGAAATATTTGCAAATTATGTATTTCATAAGGATTCATACCCAGAACGTATAAAGAACTAATAATAACAAAGAAACTGAACAGTTTAAGAATGGGCAAAAGAATTGAAGACATTTCTCCAGAGATGATATACAAATGGCCAGTAGCACATGAGAAAGTGCTCAACATCACTGGCTTTCAGGAAAATGCACATAGAAACCACAAAGAGATACCACTTCACACCCATTAGGATGGCTGTTATCAGAAAAACAAGGTAACAGGTGTTGGCGAAGATGTGGAGAAATTGGCACTCTTGTGCCTTGCTGGCGGGAATGTAAAAATGGTGCAGTTGGTATGGAAAACAGCATGACGGTTCCTCAAAAGAGTTAAACAAGAATGAACATAGGATCCAGAAACTTCATAGTACTGAACCCTATCGAGAGCAGGAACTTAAATTGATACCTGTGCACCCGTGTTCGCAGCAGCATTATTTGCAGTAGCCAAAAGGTGGAAGCAACCCAAATGTCCACTGATGCATGACCAGCGTGGTAGTTAACTTCATGTGTCAACTTGACCAGCCTAAGGAATGCCTTAGATTATTATTTCTGGGTGTGTCTGTGAGAGCGTTTCTGGAAGAGATTAGTATGTGAATCAGACTGAGTAAAAAGATCCACCCTATCCAACATAGGTGGTCATCATTGGATCCACTGAGGGTGCAAATAGAACAGAAAGATGGAGAAAAAGAGAATTATCTCCTTCCTGTGGAAGGAGCTGTGGCA